TGCACTCTATTTGTTTTTCTAAGCAGTCAAGGTGATGCACAGTGCCCACCTGTATGTTCTCAGCAGAGACTACACTTATAGAAGTAACACACTCTTGAGCTGTGTAGGCTGATCACGAGCTCAAATCCAAGAGCAATAGGACAATGTGTGTGAGATGATGGGACACATTGTCACATCAACTGAATAGCTGTCCTCAATATCTGCTAGAAACATGCCATTTCCAGACTTGCTGATGCCATTTCTAATGCCATGGCTGGGAGATGCACTTGCCTCATAGACAGTGCAGGACACAAAGGGAGTCAAAGCTCAGAGGGGACTTGGTCCCAGTTCAGAGACCTTTACGTCTAAGAAATCAGACAATTCAAATAGGTGAAAGCTGAAAGGATTCTTAGGATATGAACCAAAGCTAGTTATAGTCAGCCAGAACAATATAGTCCTCAGTTAGCACTCGAATTTTTCATTGATCTATAGAATGAAACGGTAAACATTCAGGGGATTTTATGTTTTGTGGGGTTTTTTGTTTACTTTTTTTTTAGTACTTTAATTCCAATTACCCTTGAGATGATGTGTCATTGCTCAGCGTCACATAACAAAACTTTGACAGTACTGAGATCCAATGGGAACATCATGGCTTCTGGGTCAATACTGAAGCCATCCACTTTCCCAGTAACCAGTGAAGCGCTGGCCAGCAGGTGCAAAACCTTTGTGCCCCAAAAAAGCCACAAGAAGCAGAAATTCCTAACACCATACTAGCAAATAACAATTAATTTAGTAATCTTTGAGAGTTCCTTGCTTTGCCAATGAAGTTATTTTAAGATAATATTTCTGGTACATGTTTGGGTTTAAAATTAAGTTTAGCCTAGACACCTCAAAAAAAGAAAAGAATGTCCTCACCCTAAAGAAGAAACATACCCTTCCCCTTTTTTAGGGAGGTAAAAATAGACGTTTGCTTTCAACAGTCTGATGCAAAAAACTGTTTTTAAGGAATAAAGCAAGCAATACCAGTAATATTGTCAAGGTATTTTTCTTTTTAGGATGAATTATTACTAATCATCATATGTTACAGAAAGAAACCATTATATAGGCATCTACACAGAAAACTTTCTACCATAAAATTCAAACACACAAGACCTGGTATATTAAATCCACTCAGTTTAGAAGAAAGGTTTGCATTTTAAAAGGCACGGCAGACCATTAGCTAAGGACAAAAAGTAACAAACCTTTAGGTTCCACATAGTGCCATGAGCAAACTCTCTGACATGGCAATGTCTTTGCTCATGATATTCTACAGAAACTTGGAATCACTTTAAATCTTCCCTCTACTGTCTCGTTCCAGAGTACAGCAGCAGAATTTTATATTGCTTGGAAATAACTTGTTTTATTTGGAGGGAAACACATTTCAAGTACTCCATATGCTATTTGAGAAACACAGTCCGATAAACTTGCTTGCACTGAACAAACTTCAACTTTGCTATTTAAATGGATGGGGCTATTCATAAAATAGACTTCTTTACTCTTAAATCTTGAGAACAAGATTATGCCAGAGGGATGCAGCCTATTCCAAGAAGTAGCCTTCAACCAGGGGAATTCCAGAGCAGTACCCTTGATGGAGCAACTACACTTTCTCTTGGGGCATGTTATGCCCCCACTCACACTGCCTACTCCTGCTGGGTACTTTTAAACTGAATTTGGAGGCAGAAATCCCCTCTCAGTGAATATATGAGTGGTTTATGTTAAAAACAACAAAAAATATTTTTTTTTCTTCACAGTGTCACATTTTGTTTAAACTCTGGAGAGAGCTTCTCTTGTGCTTTTGCATTTCATGGGCCTCTACTGCTTAATAAACCTCTGGAAAAGTCATACATTTGGGGAGAACAGGGGGTATAGCTAAACAAAGCTGAAAAGTGTGGAGTGGCAATGGTCTTTTTTACTTTCTGTTACCTCCCTGAAATATAAATCCTCACTTGAAGGAAAGCAAAGCAGGGACATGAGGAGTACTGGGGAGCTGCAGGCAGCGTGGTGCAGCATTTAGACTTGTGTTCCCCTTCCCACCTATCAGTTTTATGGACGTTCAGAATTAGAAAGATGGAGAGAGGACCTCAGGAGAAGGAAAACACGATAGCTTGCGATATTTCCTTGGTAAACAGGATATACTGTCTCAATTCACAAAGCATTTAAAACTTCTGGGTAGTGAAAGCTCCATCACGTGCAGAGGTAGAGCAGCAGAACACACAGAAAACTTGTGATGGACAAGATGAATCATCCTGATGCATTACTTGTAACCCAAAGATCCTCTTTCCTTTGAGGTCAAGGCCATGATCCCATCAAAATCCAGTTTTGCTCTCAGAACACTTATCCATTGCAAGTAAGGAGAGGACAACTCTGTAGTAAGTGTACAGCTGCACTGACTTTCAGCAGACTTCTGGTCTAATACGTCTCCAGCAAGGAAATTTGGAAAGAACTTATTGAGACAACACAGGCCTCAAAAACATAGTTACAGATCTTTAATGATGATAAAGCATTGGAATTAGGCTGCTTTCTACCTCTGCTAGGCCATTTTTAGAACTGAGTACCCGCAATGCAACATCAACTAACAGTAGTGAAGAATCAAGGAGGAGTAAAGAAAAGAAAAATGAAAGACAGTTGTCAATGTAAGAGTTACATTAAAGGTTTAATGTCAGCAATGTGGTTTTTCTGAAAAGCACAAAGTAGACTAAGCAGAGAATCATGAGACCCATCAGAGAGCTCCAGTAATGAGAGAAATTCCAAAACCGTGCAGATTTATTTTTTTGGGAAATCTGAGAATTCTAACACCAGCTGTTTATACTGGGTTATCTCCTTTGGCATCAGCTGAAGTCTGACATGCATCCATCAGCGAAAACTCTAGAATTCCTACACTGTCCGAGTCTAATAATATTACTCCCAGTAGATCTTTCATAAACAGTTGTCGTCTTCTACATGGTTCTAATATAGGATAGTAACAATATCACTTTCATTTTGAAACAATTACTTTATATTGAGGATTTCTAAAGATTTATTATTTTAAAATATCTGAAACATAACAATTATGCTAAAGAATTTCTCAGTAGTCCTGCCGAGATAAACTACCACGGCATCAAATTTAGTGCAGAGCGCTGTGTCCCAACCACTCACAATGTTATGTCCTAGGTTGGCGTTTTTTTCAAATAAAAATATCTCTGATGTCTTCTGGGTGTCTCAGTATTTTGCTCTTCCTACAAACCCCTGTCAACAGATCAGAGACAGGCCACGTGCCCAGAAGCAGATAATGCATGTCAGACTCTGTCTTCAAAATAGAGGCAGTAAAAGGATACATGCTGTACAGATTGTGTAATTCAAAATAATTGTTGTTTGAACTACTGAAAATGAGTATGTGCTTAAGGAACAGTTACAAATGTTAGCCTAGAAAGTTTCCTTTGGCTAACGCATTTTACCTTAATATGATGGGTGGAAGGCACTGGTTATAATCCAAAGCCACCTACGATTATGAGAGTGCTTGTTATACACTTCTTCTTTATGAAATATATAATTTGGTTGTTTCTTACCTCTGTTTTTCCACTCCCTGATGATTTATGGCATAGTTTTAAAATAGGCAGCTTTCTGTTGTTGTGAAAACAATGCTGAGCTTGCAGCTTTATTTTGACTCTGAAGCTGAACTGGTTTTAAGATGGAATTTAGCCAGCTTCTGAGAAGAGCTATATGATGTGAGTCACTGCAGGAGAAAGAAGGGGACTATGGGCTGTCAGTCCCAGTCTCCACAGTCCAGAGAAACCAAAGAACAGCTGCAATGAGTTCTTTTACTTGAGATGTGTTTGCTTATTAACTAGAGAAAGAAGACTGCCTATATTATTCAAAAATATTTGTCTTACCAAGAGAGAATAGCTTTTTAAAATTACTGTAGACAAGAGCTTGCTACTATTTAAGTTTTGCATTTTTTGTCCCCCAAGTGTTGCAGAAATTCATTGACTACAAAGCTATGAAGATACAGGCCGAGTCTTCTCAAAGGACCAGGGATTATATCCTGCTGACAGAGACCAGGGGGAGAGTTGGGTTGTTGGTCTGTTTTTGACATCTAGACAAAGACAGCTCATTTTTACAAAAAAAGTATCTGGTTTTAGTTGAGGTCCACACTTCACTCATTTAAGGCCAACTCTAACTTTACCTCTTGCTAAGCTTTCAGAATATGATTTCCATAAAAACAACACAATGGCAGATGAAACAGCACAGGGAGGAAAGGTTTGAGCTTTCCCTGAACGTCAGCAGAAATTAACTCTATTAGGTTCTTAGAAAAACTCCTCCTTTGTTCGGTACATCTCCAAAGGTTAGTAGGACGGAGTTCAATACACCACTAACTCTTAATTTCCTGAAAGAAATCCAAGTGTGATACAAAATGGTATGTAAATAATACTGTGGTCACCAACAGGATGCCGTAAAAAACTTGGTGGTGGGAAAAGCTGAGGGTAGATGACAGCTGTGAGCAAGAGAAACTTTGCTCTCTTGGTGCATGGAATTTCCCACTCTTCTTTCATCTGCTCAGTAAATTACACAAGTTTTATACTCAAGCAGTAATAAAGTCCTCTCTGCATTTGATTCATCTGATGTAATCTCAAGAAGCATCTTCTGACTGGTAGCAGTAACAATAATCCTATCCAATGCTAAAATGCAAAAGTTGTATCACCTTGAAATCTCATATAGATGTAAAACTCTCACCCAATACAGATTATTTCTGTACTTCATCTTTAATGTCTACCCTTTTGCTTATAAAATTATTCTCAGACAAAACTATAAAATATTAACTATGTAAAACTATAAAAGATTAACTTTGTAGGTTCCCATTCCTTTTACCCATTTGCCAATAAGGAACAGCTTTTTCGCAAGACATCCAACACACTTCTTCATAAAAAAACAAGCTACAGAATTCAATGGGAATTCAAAAAATTAAACATTTTTAGTTAGGTCAAACAGATCTACATATTATGTACCTGCAGAAGTAATCTCTCAAAGGCAAGGAAGTTGTCCCATTTGGAAGTCTGGGGGTGTTTCAGAGTCTGGACTGTGGCCAGCACAAGCTGTAGAAGACCACAATGGTTCTCCAAAGCTTTGAGATTGTTTCTGAAAAGCTGAACATATGAGCTGAGCTGTTCCGGGGTGACTCTGCCTGTGGAAAGGAAAAAAAAGGACACAGCATTCAGTGGTGGCAAATGCACATCTAGATTTTTTTTAAATTATAGTGAATGGATTGTAGAAAACTTTAGAGGCTCTCTCCACCATGGGCCAAATCCTAGCTTCACTGCAACCACTGGGAGCTTCAAGCTGCAGCAACAGGTTGGGACAACGACTTACCTCATTCATGAATCGTGGCTTGAGGTATGTGATCTGGCAGGTGTTTATACACAACAGATACTGACACAAAGGGTAATACCACTTTTTGTTTTCAGGCACAGAGGGACATTCATTTAAATGAGGGAAATAATACTTGACGACTACTTCTAAACAATGGTCTATCTTTCTATTTTTAACAAAAGTCCAGTGGAAATTTGTGGGCCTTCTACCAACACCAAACCCACACCCCCCAGCCGCTTCCTGAGGGTGCATTTTTGATCAGGGTTGACTCAAAAAAAAAAAAAAAAATAAAGATGATGTTAGAGATTCAAGGAACTGTTTTCTGGAGCTGTTCTTGGAAGGGACACTTCCAAGGCGTGACTCTTCGGTTTCTGAGATGCAGTCAGCGTAGTGTGATTTCACCCACTATTTGAAAATAAACACCCCAGTGCCCATACATTGGCCTGTAGATCTCTCCTTAATAGATGAGCATGAGGGGACTTGTTCAGGCCACACAAACACTGCAGAATTAGAGTTATTCCATCCAATATTAAAGTGCCGGCTAAGCTGCTCAATCAACTTGTATTTTCGAAGTGATCTGTTCCAGAGAAGAAGGTCCATAGTACCTCATCTGCCCCAGGAAAATCATCACAGGCCACATGCCATCAACACACAAGGAAAAATGGTGTCAAAACACCATCCTAATTGCAAGTCTGGACTGAGATCCAGTCCAGGGCTGTTTCATGGTTTCTGGCAGCCTCTGCCAGCAACGAGTCATCTTCCTCAAGCAAACCAGACCTAAAGAGCAGGGACATGTGAGATGGAGTGAGGAGGATTCTTTAACTTAAACAGGACAAGCTCTGGTGCCAGGAAGGCACTAGGCTGAGCCGATGCTAGTTCATGGCTTACACCACTGATCATTTTATTCAGTATTTTTCCATAAGGGAAAGGTCTTGTAAGACTGCCACTGTGTTTCTTCTCTGTGTTTGGTTATATCATCACTTTACAAGGCTCTCCATCTGCCTCCATCCTTTCAGTATCATATAAATGATTCCAACAGTGAAGAAACGTCGAAAACGCTTTCTCTTAGCTTCAGCAATACCAAGGGTGGGCTTTGGAAGAGCATTTAGACTAGGGAAAGGCCGCTACATAAAGCAAAAACACACGGGCTTTTTATGTGAATTTTAACAGAAAGCATCAAACCGAAAAGTCAGCAAATTAACACACAAATCAAGCTGCCACACCTCAGTGGGCCAGAGAGCTGACAAAAGGCTTCCACAGTCAGCCCACATAGGCTAAAACAGCAACCATAGCCATATGTGTTTTTAGACTAAACACTGGAGCTTTCAGTCTTGTTTTATTTCTTTTAAAGCTGTGTCAGGCAGATTTACACGGTGATTTGGAAGTGTCAGCCCGTGATGCCTTGCAGCATACCTTTGATAATGACTGCATTATTACCGAGAGCAGCCCTGATGTATAGTAGCATATTCAACATCTGATAACTTGCTTCAATTGAGAAAACGTGAAGTTGCCAGCCCTTCCCTCGTACGAAACAGTAAGATGGGAGGGCTTTCAAGACTTCTGATTTCAATTTAAAAAAAATAATTTTTCATGAGTTTTGTTCCATATCATCCCTTGTGAAAGTGAATCCAGATGCAGCACTGGATCAGTCTGAGATCCATTCAGCACCACTTCAGATAAACAATGAAATCCTTTCCCACCCTCAGAGTACCACCAAAAGCAAGTCCAGCACATATGTAAACATAAGTGAAATCCTGACCTTAGCAAGTCGTTAACAAAACTTACGTTGGCATTAAAGAGTCCAGCATCTCATCTGTGATATTTACAATAACCATGGAACCACTCGGATCCAGGGTTCAAGAGTTCTAGCCAATTTCTACACAGAGATCTCCCTGGACAGCTGGCTGATAAATAGCACTGTTCCAGTAGATGAGGAAAGGAATTTGGGAACGTGATTGGTGGTAATCAGCAATTAAATGACTTTTCCTGAGGCCTAAATCCTCACCACCTTCCCTGCTGCTTGCTCACAGAGGGAGATTTCAGCACAACAGACTAAATTTAATCTAAACCCAACCCCACCAGCCTTTTATTTTTTTAAAGTCCCTCTGCTGCTTCAAGTCCTTTTTGTTGCAGTATGGCAGATAAGTCCCATGAAATGAAGATAGATGCCAACCATATCATTGTCTTTCAATGGTCATTTTGTTCCTTTAAAGCAAATCCAGGGATTCAGAGGCAGAAGATGGCAACTACGGCCAGAAAGGACTTTAGTGTGAGTGTCTTGTCCTTCTCTCTTCTCCTCTCCCTGTTCCATCACAGTCATACTCTGCTCCAAACTCTACACCTATGCATAGCCAGATGTCTGTGTGGGCCAGAAAGTCTTAGGGAGACAGAGAACTTCCATTAGAAAAGGAAAATAGAAAAGCCTGGCTTATATGGGCTCCCTGCCCCACCTGGAAAACAATAGAGATCTCTATAAATGCAAAAAAATGTTCTCAAAAATGGTCTATATTGGTACTAAAATCAATGAATATAAATAAAGCATGAATATATTTACAAAAGACATTAAGAAACGTATCAATCCATCTTCTGATAGCAGAGACAAACACGTTCAACTTGTTCTAAGGTGGGATTTGACGAGTGTCTAATGAGCAATCACAAGACTTAATTCAATACAAATGGTCCCCTTCAATCCTTCACTCCTATGATAATTAATTTGCAAACATATTGGGACATACAGATGTTGAATCCTACCTCCAGCTTTCAAGAATTCAGGGCAGATTCCAAAAGAACTACAGATCACTTTTGCCAACTTTTAAATTACAGAAGCTGTACCTTGTATTTAAAAAAAATAATTAATTGAAATATTTTTTTTTTGTTAAATATGAAAATAGCAGCACTGAATACCAACATCTGCATATAGAAAATGCACAGCTAATACTACATGCATAAATGACGATATGTACAGTTAGACCGAAGGGAAGAAATCATTCTACTACTGATAAGGCAGATCACTCAAGTTAGACATACTGGTGCAGAAATTACCAGCAACTGGTATTAAAGGTCTGTCAAAAATCTGTTTTGTGATTAGTGAGAGGAGCCTAAGTGGAACAGAAAGACTTTCACCTCAACAGTTAAACAAACTGTTAACTAGACAAACCACATTTGTAGACATCGAGGCATGATTCCATGGTATGACTTTTTTCCATTTTACACTAATGCTGCAGTCTACGTAGTGCAATGCAGGCATCGCTTCAAGAAAATAATTATTTTTCAAGATAGATTTACTGGTGTAAGTAAATTTTTAAAATTCAGAATCCCAAAGTGCTTTTTTTTTTTTCTTCGTATAAAGATTTATGGATGAAGGAGGTGTCTAAAGAGCAAAGGTCAGAATTATCAATGTGCTGCTCCAAACATACAGTCCTTATTTTTTCATCTAACACTTAGTTAATTATCTCCACGGGGACAAGAAAACAAGTAAAGAGGAAAGTACATTTTGTGACCAATTGAATAAATAAGTGGATGCTTTTCCAAGACTACAGGAACCGCCAAATACACATAGCTTTAAACCTTGTTCAGTTTTATGCAAGAACACAGTTAGAGCTTCTGCTGAGGTCCATTTTTCACTTGACAGAACCAGGAATAAGAAATGACCTTGGCAAACTTATGTTCGCAGGTGAGATTTTTCAAGGCAGTAGAGGGCTGAAAAACTCCAAATAAATTGTTTTCCTCGTCCACAGTCTTAAGAATATAGAGCTCTCTCCCCCAGTAGCTTGCCTCTGACCATGTCCAATGCCGGATACTTGTGAGGAATGTAGAAAGCTCTTATACTCCATGAAGCCAATTGGGCAACAGTACTGCTAAGGGAGTCGGATATTTTGCAAACTAAGTGAGAGCAATTTAGGAGGGTGGATGACACCCCTTACATCTCCTTGTTAGTGTAATTTCCAGATGTTATTCTTATTAACTCAAAATGCTTTTGTACTTATCAGGAAGTTTCAGTAACAGCCTTTAACAGCAAGTGTCACAAAAATAACTAAACAAAAGTTGAGATCAAATTAAGTTCAAAAGCCATCCAGTCTTTAAATTGTTAATAAACAAGAGAAGAACGCCAACTACTCTCTTTGGAGAGATGAAAAGTAGGCCAGTATGAGATGCTGTTTGGCTGGCTTCTCCAGGACAAAGCTCTGGACCTGAAAAGCACTAAACCTTACAGTAGACTGAAAGCAGATGTCACAGGCTTACTTCTAAGAGTACATGCTCATCTCCCACAAACACAAATCCATCTGCCCTGGGGTTGATGGTCACCTGTAAGACTCTCTTCCTTTTCTACTGCAGGAGCTTTAGTGTCCAGACAGCCTCATGGTTACAGGTGCGAGCGCTAATACCAAGTCCTCACCACAGCAATCCCAGGATACTTACCCAACCACCTTTGGGGTCCGATCAGCCCCTGAATTACACCCCAAACCACACGGCATCGGCAGCCCCCTGTTGCCTGCCCCAGAAGCAGTGTGCCACCAAGGAAGAGCTGTGACCAGCCTTCCTTCCTCGCTGGCCCTTACTGACCCCCATTCCTCCTGCCACTTCATAGCTGCAGGACACAGGCAATGGAGCTCAGCCATCTCTCCCTGCCTCTTGTGGGCTTTCCGGTCCATCTCCAGTCCCTCCAGAGTGGAGGCAGAGCATGCCACATGTCACGTGTCTGAAGGTGTGATTAACAGTGGCTTTCAAGGACATAGAAGCCATTAACAATGGGGACAACTATACTGAGGCTTAGCAAACTCTGGAATAGAGATACACACCCAGAATAAATAAAGC